GGAAATTGTGATCTAAAATCCATCTGAAAATCTGGATGGAGCACAAAGAATCTGCAAGTTAATCATTCCGAGAATTTCATAATTTGTCAGAAATAATAAATTAGTGACCACAAAATGTTTTGTGAAGGATAATGCGTTTTAGTTATAACTGATGTTGTTGCTGTATAAATGCAACATCTTGTAATTTCCCAAATCTCCCATCTCCAATTATTTATCCAATCCATTACTGAAATGTGCTTTGGGATAGTTAATCAGGTTCCCCTTGTCTCTCCGTAAACTCAGATCAGAAATGAAGCAGGCTTTAATCCAAATGAACCAAACCAGATTGTATCAAATAGTTTCTGTCATTTAATTCATATAAAAGATTGTTCATAAGCAATAATTGACCATGTGGAAGTATGATATTAATTATATTAATACCAGATTCCACATAAAGTGGAGTGAAAATTCCGATCTTTCTTAACAGATTCGTTGAATTAATTAAAACATCAAATCTGTTAAACATCACAGTTTTTACCTTCAGAATTAGATTATCAGTGCTCAATTTCCAGCATTGCTGGTGATAGCACATCTGCAAACTTTACACTTTAGAAGGCTAAAGCTATGTTCTACTCAGTTTTAGTCAATACTAAGTTAACATGTAGAATTAGGAATGTATGGAGTAAAAAGGTTATAATTTAATCAGGTTCCAATCATATCGTAAACTGTAGGAGCAAAGTTCAAGTGGTTATTGTTGGAGACTGAGATTAAATTATAGTTGATCACTCACGAACATTTATTTTTAATAATGCATTTTCCAACCTCAGGAATATGAAAACTGTTATTGACAGTTGAAAGTGGTACAAAAATTTAATTAATTGAAGTCTGAGAAGCTAATGCAATATTGCCACTACAGAGTAATGTCATATATTGAACAAGAAGCTCTAATAAGGAAATTATTTTGCAGTTGGGAAATGTTAATTGTAAAAAAATTAAACTGAAGTGTATTTTATAAATACATTTCACGTCACTGTGATAAAACAAACACATTTCAGAAAAGCTATTGTGCAAATGCAGAACAACTTTAAACCATATTGGACCTGTGATTATACTTATGATCTAATAGGCTTCCCTTTTAATGAGCTAAATGAATTACTGCAAATGTATTGAGTATTAATTTGCAGTTAATTTTAGTTTAATTGCCAGGAAATAAGATAATATATTTTCATTATATAATAAAAATAATCAGGACAATTTTAGGACTGACAGCAGGAAGCATTTTTTTTCACATTAAATGTAATCTGCAACTGGAATGGGTTACCAGGAAGAGCAGTTGAGGCCTGGACATTGGGCTGATTTTAGAAACTGCTAGATGCTACATTAAGAAGACAGTAGGATGCATATTCTTGAAGGATAATCAAAGGTCCAAGGGGATTTCTTCTCTGAACCTCTCTTGTCATCTCTTATGATCTTAAAGAATTCAATATTTATCAAAGAGCTTTCCATTGCACTACATTACAGAACAGAATGACTTGACATATCTGGTGATGTATGCAATATAAAAAGTCACATTTTGATCATGAAAATCGGCAGTTGCTGCTAAAGTACAAGAGACGACCCTGTGATCACATCTGTGCAGGGAAGTGTGGGACTAGGAGGTCCCTGAACATGTGACTGTGATTTCCTTCATTAAAGAAGAATATTAAGAAACTGATAAGAAAAGCACAGGCCGCAGTTTGTGACTATTATTTGTGGTATGGTTTTTGTGCAGGTGAATATCTTCAGGGAACAATCAGAAGGTGTCTCAAAGTGGGCAAAAGCAGTAACCCTGTACTTGCATGGGTAGGAATCACCTGCCCATGAGTAGGAATCACCCATGCATGTGTTAGAATTGCCTATGCAGACACAATCGCTGTTATCCTGTTTAGTTTGTCAATCGGGAACTCCTGAGGTTCCCAACTTCTAGGCACCCTTATAAGTTTGCTGAATGAGATACGTGATCCTGTCTAAATATAATTCTGCAGCTTATATGCGGAGGCCCGAATGTCTTGCGTTGCATGTGAACAGCAGGAAACTAGTTGGATCTGTTTTGCAAACATAGGGAAGGATGTGGCTAATCGCACGCCACAGGGACTGAACCCCTGCAGGAATAAGACAGTACACCGCAATTTCCTGACACCAAAATTGAATCTAAATCAAAACGTCGCACTCTATTTGTTTGTTGCATTTGAACCTCTTTCATTATACATTTTAAAAAGAAATCTGTTTCTGCAACGTTAATAATGGAAGATCAGGATGAATTTCAAGCTTGACATTGTGAGAAGAATTATCTCTGATATTAATTACTGGTACTTCTATATTAAAAAAAACAAGAAAAGGAGGGCTGGCTTCAACAGTAATATGTTGGAGCTGTGACAATGTATAATAAGATGAAGCTGATTTTCTCATTTCATGTCACAATGTGAATTGCCAGCCATTTGGAGATTGTACCCTTCCTCACTGCATATAGGTATTTTGCCTGACTGGACATTGTTTATGTGCAAGCCTTGATAATGAGATTTGTCAGTCAATTCAACCATGCTGGAGAAACAAGGAGTCCTGTAGCTCAGTGGTTAGAGCACTCACTTTGCTAGTGAGAGACCTGAGTTCAATTCCAGGCAGGGCGAAACCTTGGGCAAGTTTCCTTACTCCACACGCCTAATAATAATCCCTCCAAAAACCAAAAACAATAATAAATTGGTCATTTTCAATCTACGACTGTTTGTGGGACATTGCTGTGCGCAATTGGCTGCCGCGTTCGCCCACAAATATACAGTCAATTCACTTTACAGTGTGTTTTGTGAAGCGCTTTGGGACGTCCTCCCGACGTGAAAAGCGCTATATCAAATGCAAGGATTATTATTATTATAAACAGATCACATTCCAAACCAAGCCTGTCCTCAACCATGAGCAGAACTATTTGGGTTCACTAGATGGTGATCAGAAATAGGAATTCTGACTGATTCCAACCCCTTGTTGCCCAACCCAGGAACATTAAGATTGTAATTTGATTTCCCAGCAGTCGAGTGGTGTACAAATCCATAATCCCTCAAACCAGTATGATATAAATCCAATTTATCTAGGACAGCATGAATCCCTATCTACAATACGCTAATGAGTACATGAATCCAATTTCCCCCTCAGTCTACTGGGGAGTGGGAGGGAGAGGGGATCTACATTTAAATTTCTAGACCATCTAAAGGAGCATGACTTAGATGCAAGTCACCTCAGTTTCAAGGATCTGCATTGCAAGCCTTAAATTGCTCCAGATTCTTATTCTTGACTTTACATTGTCTTGTCAGAAGTCCATCATGATTAATCAGTGATCTTTCCTAAATACACCCTAGGTAGCCCAAGAACGGTACATTCTCCGTTTAACTGAAATATTCCAGACTAAGGTTTTAGCCATTTGCAATTCAGTTAATGCGTTTTAAAAGATTACAATGATATAATAGTGTAACTAAGGAGAAATTGGTATATGGATAGTCTAGTCTCATATTTTCATCACTTTTATCTAACTATGAAATGAGCTGTGAATAGTTCAGACACATATTCAGTTACTCGGCAAATAATCAAAAATGTTCTGTGCCCATGAGAAGCAACATCAATTTTATAATCCATTATTCTCACTCATTTTACAATAAATATGACAATTTTATTGCTGGTACTAAAAATGCCATGAATACAGAAATACTATTGTAATCCTTTTGTGCAGAACCACTAATCAGGCCTGTCGGTTCTTTTTATTTATAGTGTGTTTAATTTTTGTTAATGTTACTCGAGGTAGACCTTTGGGCTACAGTAGAACATTGATAATTGCCAGTATTTTAATCAGCAGATTGTACTAACCAGCGAATTTCTTCAGCCACCACTCTTTGCACTGTATGTTGTGACACCTAGGGTGAGGTATCCTTTCTTCCAGTGTTAACAGTCCGATGCTGTTGTTTTCTTCAGGAATGTTTTTAAGATATTGAGAAATTAGAAGGTGACAAAGGTTATATAATACAATGACCATTTCAAATGGGATTTCCTGACAAAACCTCTGAATGTAATGGAATCCCCATTGTTGGTCAGTTTTGTTAAGAACTCCCATCAGAAGTGAACACAGTTTCAGATAATGACCCCATTAAATATTGGAAAACTCCAAATTTTGGTGACAGATATTTACTGGAGTGTTGCTTTTTGTAGTTGAATAATTTCTTATATTAGCTTAAAAGATGAGCCGCAGGAGAGCCGGCATTGGCGGGAGCCAAGGAGTATGGCTTCCATCTTGTCAACATTCAACTGCAGAAAGTTTGGGCTCATCCATGTACTGACATCTGACAAGCAAGCTGACAGAACAACAGTATCCTGCAGTTACAACTAGAGGAGGAGATGTATAGTATGAAACTGCATGGAAACAGACTATTCGGGCCAACTATTGGGCCATCAATATTTTAGATTAATGTTAGGTTAATTTTGCAAAATGTCAGTTATTAGATTCTATCATCTCCTGACCCCCCTTCCCTCGTCCACACACACACACACTCCTCAGCTTCCCTCCACCCTGTTCAGGTGCCCAGAAGGCTGCGTGTGAAGTGCTTTGAGACATCCTTCCGATGTGCAAGACGCTGTGTAAATGTAAATTGTATTGCATTGTAATTATTATAATTATACTTTAGTAGATGTATCAAATTACTGATACATAAAACTAATACAAAAAATCAAATTAGATGCAGGGTTATTGAAAATATCAAAGATTGTTATATTCGTCACACTTTTGCATGGTTCCCTCACTAATTATTATTCTAGAATCACTATAAAACATCCCGCTCTCACTTAATCCTTATTCCATTTGACAAGCCTTGCTCTGAGTTCCAAAGAAAGGCTAATAAAGGCACTGCACTGTATCCCATCATATGAAAACAGAACTGAAATGCCTGTATTGTACATTCATCATATACTATAGAAAGAGGATTACTGATTGATTTCTTTTTATTTAGGTGTCAAATTAATTTATCGGGCCTCAGTCGGGAGCATACTCACAAACTGGAGCTTAATCTGTCTGAAGGCAATGGCCGCTTGGTGCTGCTTCTTACTCTGACAGCATCGCCTCCAGTCGATATTGCCGATACATCTGTCTCCAAATTGGAGGAAGAGCAGCAACACAAGGCAATAAGGCGACGATATGTATGTATTACTTTATTAATACTTGTCTGCATATCTGGGTGATATTGAAAGTTCAAACAAAGTGTTAATGTCTGAAAAGTATTCTCTTTGCACACTTGGAAGTAAGTTTAGTGTATTGAGAGCGGCTTTGAGATTGCAGCAACGGAGCATAAGACTCCTTACCAGGGGGTTGTAAGTTCAATCCCAGACTCAACTAGAATTCAAAGTGACTGTCCTCATTGGCAGCATCTCCGCTGAGCTGCTGTGATTCAACGCTATGAATGGAACTGATCTGTCGAGGAGGGGGAGGAGGGAAAAGTGCCAGGACCAAGCACAAGCACAGACTGCAGATAAGCCTGCTGCCAGTCAGCAAGCAGGGCCATGACCAAAGAGGGAGGCAGTGCAAGAGGTAGCGAAGGGAGAGGGAATGGTGCAAAGAAAATGTGGTGCAGGCGAATGCTGTGTAGGTATATAATCCATCCAGGAAATGTATAAAGGTATGTGGGGAAGGGGGGAAGGTATATACATGGATCCAGTCACTAGTTTAAGTTTCTTTAAATATTACGAGCCCTTCAGGACACAAGTAGTACCTGCATCAAAATAGTAATTTTAAAACATTTAAAGACATGTTTTTCTTTACTCTTTATTTTATTTTCTTCACTTCAGTTTACAATAATAATCCCTGTGCTTGATATAGTGCCTTATCATGTCATTAAAATGTCTAAAAGCGCTTGACAGTTTACTGTAAAATATAGTAAATGTATTTATTTATATAGTAGGCGAATGCAGCAGCCACTTTGCTCAAAGCAATGTCCTACAAACAGCCATGAAGTGAGTGACCAATTTTACCTTGGGTAAAATCGCTGCTGCAATTTACTCACAAAATATACAGTAAGTTCACTTTACAGTATATTTTGTGAAGCCCTCTGAGACGACTCAACGACAGGTTTCAGGTCCACATTGCCCTTTGACAGTTTGGGGTCTAGAAGAGCTTGGGGAGATTGGGGGGCTTGTCTGCGGGCACAACCCTATAAGTGGGAACGTATTTGGTCTAATTTGGTTTATGGGGGTGAATCTCATACATTATTACATAAAAATATATATAATACATATTATGGTGACTTTGCTTATGAAGCAAAGCTGGGCAAAGTAGGCAGGGACAGGGACGTACAACCCTGTTTATGTCAGGAGGACGTTCCCAGGCACTGGACAGCCCGCTATTTGGACCCAAGCTGGTGGTTGGGATCAGGAGGGTGGGGTAGGAGGGCGACCAAAGGAAGTACATTATACTCTGATTTTTCATTGGGAAGGAGCTCTGCTATAGCAAAGCCTAAAAAAATTAGTTTACACTCATAAACGCTCCTCTCCACGGAAACCTTTAGTAAAAGGCGAAAGATTTTTACGATCTGAAGAGAAACCAGAGCTGAGGGCAGGAGCTCAACCTACACACGTCAGGCTGTCCCACTCACCTCTTTGATACAGTGAGGCAAATTTCACATTTCACCATGTACGACCACGTTAAACGCAATGCAACGAGATTTCTAACCCATAGCACAAGCTTCTTCAAGGGTGCACTTGAGCACATTTGAAGAAATATTAGCAAACTAAATGTGACTGTTTAAATATTCTGACCTGCAAGGCTTTCTGGGTAACTGTGAAGGCTCGTGTAGCTAATGGGCGCTGAGGAGAGGCACCAGGGGGCATCGCATAGAGCAGCTATAGCATGTACAAAGATTGGAGGTCATTTTGCTAAAATGTTAAGATATTGGCAAAGTGCGTATAAATAATACTCCACACGCCCTTCCAATCATTTTTAAAAAAACTAATAATTTCGTCACTCAATCCACGACTTCTTGTATTATGATTATTATATCTTCTGGCCTTTGTGCATCCTAAAGTATTGATCTGGGTTTACTTTTTCGTTCGCTTTTAACATTTTATAAGTCTATTTGAGGTCTCCTCTGAATCATCTTCTCAAGACTGAAGAGCCCTAGCTTGTCAAATTGTTGCTCATAGCTCAGTTAGGCGTGAGATCAGAAAACATTTCTTCAACCACAACAACTTGTGTTTCTGCAGCATCCTTCAAATAGAGTAATGTCTCTGAGAATTTTACAGAGGTGATGCAGGAGGAGGTGACCACAGGCACAGCCAAAGAGGTCAGCTTTTAGGTAGCTTTTGAAGATAAATAGGGAAAGAGCGAGACAGAGTCGAATTCTATAGACCTGAAACACTGTGCGTTATAACAGAGGCACCTAATAGTATGTTTTGGATCCCAATGTAATTTTTAAAATAGCAAAACAGGTAAAAATCAACAAGGGGGAGTATGGTGGCCAGTATATCAATGCTCTGTGCCACTGAATATATTTTATATCAATTTATTTTGGTCACGGTGACTCCATCTTCTTTCATACATTTGCTCCTCTTTGTACTTCTATGGCTTTCTTGTGTCATGCCAACTCCAGGCAAAAGGGCAGCGAGGGGGCTGGATGGCAGGCACCTGCCATTGTTAACTATAAAGTGGGGTACTGGAGATGATTAGCTCACGCTGACTGGCACAGAATTCTCCCACTTCGCTCTAGGGACATGCCTTCCACTCTCCTTGTCCTCTTGCGAGATAGCTTTGGTATGAAGGATCAGCGTCCTATAGCATTGTACATTGGGCCTCTGACAAGCTGTGCCATATGAAGTTATAGTGTTGAAAATGCAGACACTACAATACTGAATTGTACCTCATTCATTGCAGTTTTACAAAACAAGCACAGAGAGGAGCTATTACACTGGATTTAGCTTAAAACAATCTATCCTAGGCTCTACATAATAAATAATGGTGGCATACTACAATTAAAAAGCCTTTCCCTCGAACACAGGCTGCTGTTTTACATGGCTAGACTCGGCACTCCAATGTGGCAGTTGACTCAGATCAACTGAGCTTTAAAAGTGTGAAATATTATATTAAAATATTCCCATTCCCTGACTGACGCGCTCTGGATAACTGAATTTAATAAAGACGTGCCTTATCAGCCTATGCAGTGAGCAGATAACATGAAGCGGTGCTACAAATGCTTTACAATGCTCTTCAAACAGATTAACAGGGCACTTGCTGTAGCTCAGCGGTGGATTTCTCCCTGCTGTCGACACTGAATCAGCTGTTTGTCTGGGCTTGTATAAATCATAAATGAATGGCATTGTCATTTTTGTCACAAAAATACAAAACTAATGACACACTAGTACTGGTAGCTTTAAATGTTTTGAGTCTCTGAAATGTGTTTATTCCTGCAACTTGCTCCATTACATGGCTTTACCGTAGAACTCAGCAGTGTTTACGGATTAATACAAATAAACTTATTTCTATGCACTGGTGCTTTGGAAATGTTGAAATAAGCAACAAAATACACTTGGGGATGACCGAGGTTCTTACAGTAAAATGGCTTAAATCATTTGGCAAAGCTGACGACTATTTGCAGCCATGACCCCGCTATCAGATTGAGTTAGCCTAGAAAATGAGTGTATTACAGTAATTTAACCATTTGTGACCAAATGTGCAAATGCATCAAATTAAATGGACATTTCAATTTCAGTCATTAATGTGAAAAAGCCTCTTATAATATCCCTTGATTTTCTTTAATGGGCATTAATGGATGGCAGCCAGAAGGCTATTTGGTGACCTCTTCAGAATGGGAGCACAAAACCACTGCTTCCCCCTTTGTCACTCCTTAAATTCAGAAGAGCTAGTTTAGAAAGAAGTTGTTAGCATTCCATTTTTATTATGACATTTCACAGTCGTCCGATTTAATGTCCCTTGACCGAATTGTCCACCGTGAGACGATGGGCTTGAAATGTTATTTGGAGCATTGATAAAAGGTGAGTGGTTATAAGATGACAGCAAGTCATAAGGCTGGTGGTGTGACATTAATTTTCTCCATAACAGAGATGGAATAAGACGTCATGATGACAAGCTGTCAATCAGCGCTGGCCCCTGTGTGTATCTCGGTGCCATAGGATAGGGTATTGCTTCTCCCATAATAGACCTGAACTAGAAAGCTCTTGCTGACAGCTGCTGCCATACAGAAAATTTATTATACAGCCTTTCATTAAAAAAATAAAGAGGAATCATCTCCTGAGCATTTCAATCTTTTCTGTCTATTGAGGTCTGAAAGGATTCATGGGAGAGAAAAAAAATTCCCTGCCATAGAAATACCAAGTGTTATATAAAAAAATTATAGGGTAGGGAGCATGGTAAATAATCAATCTATAGATAAATGGTGAACGGGTCTGGATGCTGATAACTCACATATTAAAAAGATGCTGCTGTTTTCTAGGATAGCACTGGTACGGCATGGAGCAAACCAAGACTGTCACAGTTTGTAATGAATTAAGTCACCAGTCAAACATAAACTGAAAATCCAAATGGTAATTAACCCTCAGGGTACTGAGAGCATTTCTGCAGAAAACCATTAAATGTGACAAGGCTTGCAAATTTTATTTCATTGTCAGGGAGCAGAGTTTCTTATTCCCCTTCCTCTCAACCTTGTTCGTGATGATAATTCACACAGTGCTGTTTCACTCGAGATGTGAGGTTGAAAGAGTATTACCGTCTAGCTTGTAATGTTGAAGAGTTAGCTCATCTCCGAACTGCATTAAATAAAGGGGTTCGGGCTGAAAGCTGCCCTCCCCCCGGCCCATCGGTGGGGTGAGAAGCTTTTCTTGAAGTAATTTGCACCAAAGCACATGCAGTAGGTTCTTGATATAGATCACTCATTCTAAAATCTCCTTAGAACAAATTTAAAATTATCCTCGGATGTGGTGAATTCTTGTTACATGAATAACCATTTTTCCACAAAATGAATTCACTGAAATTCAGAATACTCACATTTTAGAATCTAGGTAAGTTTGTCGTAAGTCATACAATTTTGAAATAAAATCTAAATGATAAACTCCTTCATGACCGATTGCTTGGGGCTTTCTGTAAGTTGAGAATGTTTTACAGCACACTACACAGTGCAAAGGAAGACTGTGTAAACTTGGTGAAATGTGCAACCTTGCCAAAATATGAGCAAATCTACAATCGAAAGTAAGAATATTTATTCAAGTCAAGTGGTTATACTATTGGATTTCAGACCAATAGTAAATGATTTTACAGTTTTTTGTGGACTTAACTGGAATATTAACTGACTGAGCTTTCTGATGAAATTCTTAAAGGGGCATTATAATCTCATTAGAGAATTTCAGTTCGGCTCAATTCCTGGATTAGTTTGGAACAACCTACTTTGAAATCTCAGTTTCCTCAGGTGCACAGCAAGTTTTTTGTAGATACTGTAACTGCCATTGTCTGATCCTTTAAAGAAAGTTGCTTTCAAACATATTTTTTTTAAAAAAGTCTGTAATCTTAAAAATGAGTTCCTCCTCCACTTATATTCATGTTACCCTGCCCTGTTTAATGATGGTCATAAATATAGTGCATCCAGTTTAAAAGCATGTCTGTATTCTGAATACCGGGCATTCATTTCTTAATGTCAGCCCAGTTATTTTTATGATGTCTGCCCAAAATTTAGTCAATGAATGCTTTATAATATTGTGTACAATGTGTCTATTAGATATTGTGTGTCACACACAGACCTAAATGTAAAGAAAAATCATTTAACTTACCGTGCAATGTTATCTTTCACCCTTCAGACACTAGCAAGAGACTGGTTGCCTGAATTAGTAATTATGAATCGAACTTACAGCAACTTAAACTAATAACTGGATGAAGTGATTTATAATTTGGAAGACTGTCATTTTGGCTCATTTAAATTTGGGCACTCTTCAATTTCTGGAGAGGCTTCAGATACAATTTTGTTAAGCTGGCTAGCCCTGAGGATGTGAAAAGGATCACTGGTGTAGCTTTGTTTTGTCACACAGCAGTTATTTCTCATTTTACTTACAGACTTCAACACAAAAGATACTTGTGCTTTGTTTCAATGCAGGTCCTCAATACTTTATTTCTTTTTCCCGTTTCAAGCAAAGAATGAAAACAGTGCTTTGTTTATTTAACATTTTGCACATTAGAGTGTTGGTAAATTCTTTTTAATTGGTGAAACTTTCATGGCAGAGCAGAAAAAGTGTATTCTTTATGCTTAATTTATTTGTGTCATAGATTGAGGTGCACATTGGCAGTTGTTTGTAAAAGCAAATTGTGCATTTGTGCAGTGCATTTTTCTATTTTTTGGTTGGAAAAAACAATTGGGTTTCCTGTCCCAGCTTATTTTTATTAATAATAGTAACAACAATTATTTAAAAACTTGCATTTGATATTGTGCCTTTTGTGTTGGAGGTTGACACAAAACACTTCACAGCAATTTACTGCAAAGTGTAGTGACTGCATTTTACCAGTGATTATTTTCCCTTCATTGAGTGTTTTTAAATAATCAAATCACCATGTCTGCT